GCCTTCCCGGGGCGGGGGAGGGGAGAGAGGGATGACCTCTTGGGGCTGAGATCTGGGGTGTGTGGCTGGGTACAGTTTCTGCCCTTTGCCTGTCTCAAGGGTAACCATCGCCATTGCCTTCCAGAGGTGGTTTGCGGAGCCCCCTCCATCTACCTCGACTTCGCCCGCCAGAAACTTGATGCAAAGATTGGAGTTGCAGCGCAGAACTGTTACAAGGTACCAAAGGGTGCTTTCACGGGAGAGATCAGGTGAGCCCACAGAGAAGAAGAGCAAAAGCCAGGGTGCCTCTGGGATGTGAATTTTTTCCAGAGGTGTGAGTCATCTCCTTTCTTCCCAGCCCAGCAATGATCAAGGATATTGGAGCCACGTGGGTAATCCTGGGCCACTCTGAGCGAAGACATGTTTTTGGAGAGTCTGATGAGGTGGGTGATCCTGGGGTGGAGAGATGGTCCAGCTCAGGTGTGCCCGCAAAGGCCGCGGAAGGGAATATGCCTACAGGAGTAGGTCTGACTGTCGTTGCCTTGTTTCTTTTCCATTCCCAGTTGATTGGGCAGAAGGTGGCTCATGCTCTAGCTGAGGGCCTGGGAGTCATTGCCTGCATTGGAGAGAAGCTGGATGAGAGAGAAGCTGGCATAACGGAGAAAGTGGTTTTTGAACAGACCAAGGCCATTGCTGGTAAGGGAAGAAAACAGGTGTGCTTTTTTCTGCTTTGGACATCTGGGAAACGGCCGTCCTGGCTTTCCTTGTCAGGCTCACAGATACATTGCTGCAAAGGTTCACACCCAGTAATGATCATGTTAATAAAAGGCCTGTGTGTTCCAGAATGCTTCCCCCAGCTCTGCCCTTCCTGGCATGGGGTACTGTGCTTGCTTATACCTTCTTCCTCCTCCTCAGATAATGTGAAGGACTGGAGTAAAGTGGTTCTTGCCTATGAGCCGGTTTGGGCTATTGGAACTGGTAAAACTGCAACTCCCCAACAGGTATGAGCAGGGGAAAGGTGGCTGACTAAATGGCCAGCTGACCCTTCCCATTCGAGATCTTCTTGAAGATTCTGTCTCTCTAAAGACTTAGAGAATCTCTAAAGATTTTTTTCAAAAAGTCTCCCTTCTCTTTGGACAAGAGTATGTATTGCTCAGCCGTCAGTGAGACTCTTTCTCTTCCGTTGCAGGCTCAGGAAGTTCATGAGAAGCTGAGGGGGTGGCTGAAAAGCCATGTGTCTGATGCTGTTGCTCAGTCAACTAGGATCATCTATGGAGGTAAATGAACCTGAAGCCACTTTCCGGTGCAGGAAGCCCTTAGTTTCTCCGCTTGTGGCTGCAGCGGTACAACATGCTCTGCTGATGAGGAAACTTGAGGTTGTCAGAGCATGAAGAACCACCTACTAGCTTGTTTCAGTAAATGGGGGGCAGTTTTGCTGTCTGCAGAGTAAGATGTGGCTAGTGTCTTACCTTTGTGCCCTGGCCCCATTTTCTAGAGCTAGCCACATCTGACCTTAAAATACTGCTCCCTCTTTAGGTTCAGTCACTGGCAGCAACTGTAAGGAGCTGGCCTCTCAGCATGATGTGGATGGCTTCCTTGTTGGTGGAGCTTCTCTCAAGCCAGAGTTTGTGGATATTATCAATGCCAAACACTGAAGCAGCCTGTGAGGAGCAGTCCCTTGAGGTTCAGAGCAAGAAACGGAAGCAAGACGGGACCTTTCATTGCACACGTCTTAGTACAGAGGCCTCCTCTGGGGCTTCCCCCCCTCCACGGTCATTGTTCTACCTGTGCTGCTAACCCCCCCCACCACATTGGAGTCCTGTTAGTGGGTGCCTGTCTCAGCAGAGTCTTGACAGCCTCCTCTCTGAATTGTCAAAATCCTTGGTTGCCTGTTGACCTGTAAGAGCCCAGAGTCAACCTGGCCAGTGCCTCCCCTTTTTTTTCTGCCGTGCTGCAGGGAGAGAGGCCACTGGTGCTGGGGGAAGGAAAAAGGAACTACCCTCTCGTGCACCCTTCAGCTCCATCAGCAAGGAGCCTGTCAGCTTAGACCCTTGTGAGATGTCTTACCTCACCTGTGTCCCGTACTGAACAATAAATGGAAAAAAAGAAAAAGCAAAGGTGTGTCCTGGATCTCATTCAGAAGCAGCTGGGGACAAGCAATGTACAGAACTGACTGCTTCTGGAGGTAGCAGGTTGCAGAGGGGGTGGTGTGGGTTTTATGGGCTTTTCTTTGAGGGCCCACTGGTAGACATTGCACAGGTTCAGCCTGCATCCTGCTGTCACCTGCAGCATCCCCTGAGCATCTTGCTTCTGTCACGTTGCAGCTCCTCTGTGGTGGTTTGTGCCCATCTTTTCCAGGTGCGTTGTCTCTGTTCCAGCACCTGGCTGTCCCGCTAGTGAGCCAATCATCCCAGGCAGGCTTGGTAAATGCACTCGTCCCTGCACACCCTGTGAGGGCTGGTCCCTGGCTTTGCTGCTCAGGAGCAGCCCCCTCTTTAGCAGGGAAGGTTTTCAGGCCATGTGCTGAGGCTGCGCTCGCTGCCTGCTTGTAGCTGTGTGCTGATGGGTGAGCAGGCGAGACTTGATCGTCATTTCCCAGCCGCTGCACCAGATTTTTAGGTAGTACTAAGGGTAGCGAAAAAGGAAGTGCCTCGCAAGGAGGAGCTTAGCTGTGGGGCAGTACGTCCCCGGGAGCCTACGGGCAGTGCTCTGGCAGGGAGCAGACCCGGGGAAAGGGCGTTCGTGCCGAGAGATGGGCTTCCATTTCACGTCGCTGGACTGCGGCAGCTTTTGCAGCTGTGGTGCCTTCCTCCCCT